TTGTACCTATAGTGATGTAATCTGTACTGTCCTACGTCCTCCTACCTTGTACTATAGTCTACCTGTACTATGTGTCCTGTCTCGTACTGTCCTACGTCCTCCTGCTCCTTACTTACTCTCTCACTCTCTCTACCTTGTACTATGTAGTGATGTAATCTCTTACTGTCCTCCTACCTCCTCCCCTCCATCTCTCCTACTTACTCTCTCTACCTTGTACCTACTATAGTGATGTATCTCTGTACTTGTCTTACGTCCTCCTACCCTTCTCTCTACCTTGTACTATAGTGATGTAATCCGTGCACTGTCCTCCTCCTCCTACCTTACTCTCTCTCTACCTTGTACTATAGTGATGTAATCCTCTCGCACTGTCCTATTCCTCCTGCTCACTTACTCTCTCTACCTACCTACTATAGTGATGTAATCCTCGTACTGTCCTACGTCCTCCTGCTGTCCTTACTTCCCTACTCTCTACCTTGTACTTACTCTCTACCTTGTACTATGTAATCTCGTACTGTCCTACGTCCCTCCTGCTCCCACTTACTCTCTCTACCTTGTACTATAGTGATGTAATCTCTGTACTGTCCCACGTCCTCCTGTCCCTTACTCTCTGTCTACCTTGTACTTATAGTGATGTAATCTCGTACTGTCCTACGTCCTCCTGTCTCCTTACTTACTTACTCTCTACCTTGTACTATAGTGATGTAATCTCACACTCCCTACGTCCTCCTGCTCCTTACTTACTCTCTACCTTGTACTATAGTGATGTAATCTCGTACTGTCCTACGTCCCTCCTGCTCCTTACTTCTACTCTCTCTACCTTGTACTATAGTGATGTAATCTCTGTACTGTCCTACGTCCTCCTGTTCTTACTTCCTCTCTCTTACCTTTGTACTATAGTGATGTAATCTGTACTGTCCTACGTCCTCCTGCTCCTACTTCTTACTCTCTCTACCTTGTACTATAGTGATGTAATCCTCGTACTGTCCTACTGTCCTCCCTGTCCTCCTGCTCCTACCTTGTACTCTCTGTCTCGTACTGTCCTTGTACTATACTCTCTCTACCTTGTACCATAGTCTGTACGTCCCTCCCTCCTCCTGCTCCTTACTTACTCTCTCTCTACCTTGTACTATAGTGATGTAATCTCGTACTGTCCTACGTCCTCCTGCTCCTTACTTACTCTCTCTACCTTGTACTATAGTGATGTAATCTGTACTGTCCTACGTCCTCCTGCTCCTTTACTTACTCTCTCTACCTTGTACTATAGTGATGTAATCTGTGTACTGTCCTACGTCCTCCTGCTCCTTACTTCTACTCTCTCTACCTTGTACTATAGTGATGTAATCTCGTACTGTCCTACGTCCTCCTGCTCCTTACTTACTCTACTCTCTACCTTGTACTATATAGTGATGTAATCTCGTACTGTCCTACGTCCTCTGCTCTGCTCCTCTCTGCCTATAGTGATGTAATCTCACTTGTCCTGTCCTCTCTACCTTGTACTATACTATAGTGATGTAATCTCGTACTGTCCCTACGTCCTCCTGCTCCTTACTTACTCTCTCTCTATATCTTGTACTATAGTGATGTAATCTCTGTACTGTCCTACGTCCTCCTGCTCCTTACTTACTCTCTCTACCTTGTACTATAGTGATGTAATCTCGTACTGCCCTACGTCCTCCTGCTCCTTACTTACTCTCTCTACCTTGTACTATAGTGATGTAATCTCGTACTGTCCTACGTCCTCCTGCTCCTTACTTACTCTCTCTACCTTGTACTATAGTTATGTAATCTCGTACTGCCCTACGTCCTCCTGCTCCTTACTTACTCTCTCTACCTTGTACTATAGCGATGTAATCTCGTACTGTCCTACGTCCTCCTGCTCCTTACTTACACCCTCTACCTTGTACTATAGTGATGTAATCTCGTACTGTCCTACGTCCTCCTGCTCCTTACTTACTCTCTCTACCTTGTACTATAGTGATGTAATCTCGTACTGTCCTACGTCGTCCTGCTCCTTACTTACTCTCTCTACCTTGTACTATAGTGATGTAATCTCGTACTGTCCTACGTCCTCCTGTTCCTTACTTACTCTCTCTTGTATTCCACTCTCCCTTTCTCTCTACTGTCCTACTCTTTCCTCCTCTCTACTGTCTCGCTCTCTCCTCCACTCTGCTGTCTCACTCTCTTCTCCTCTCTACTGTCCTACTCTCTGCTGTCTCTCTCTCTCTCCTCCTCCTCTCTGCTGTCTCACTCTCTTCTCCTTTATACTGTCCTACTCTCTACTGTCTCACTCTCTCCTACTCTCTACTGTCCTGCTCTCCACTGTCCTATTCTCTACTGTCTCACTCTCTCCTCCTCTCTACTGTCCTTCTCTCCTGCTCTCCACTGTTCTACTCTCTACTGTCTCACCCTCTCCTCCTCTCTGCTGTCTCACTCTTTTCTCCTCTCTACTGAGAGTAAAGGGGCGGCTGTGAGGGGAGGTTGGAGGCCGTGTACTTAGATGTAACTTTTATAAATACATGTGTTTGTTTCGTGTGTGTTGTGTTTACAATGTCTCCTAATAAATATATCTTTGCAGCCTTAGTTAGTAGTAGCTGTGTTGTACCTCAACAAGAAAGTTAAATCGTGTTGTTACTAGTCAGTTATTGTAACTGCACTGTATCGATTGAGATATAATATGCAAAACATGGCTCAAGCGACTAAATAATGTGTTGGTAGCCTACAGTACTCATGAGTTAAAAGCTGCTGTTTGAACATTACATATCTGTGCGTGATTTCGTTAATTGGTCACTCGGATATATATACAGCATCATATTGTGGAAGTCACTCGGATATAAATACAGCATCATATTGTGGAAGTCACTCGGATATATATACAGCATCATATTGTGGAAGTCACTCGGATATATATACAGCATCATATTGTGGAAGAGAAGAAACAACTTTGTTTACTGTGTCTTCAATCAAGGATTTTACACAAATGGTCAATACTTGACTTCGAACAGTCCACACATATGTAGTCAGTATAATGGCTAATGAGGAACCGGGTTGATGTCCAGTAACCCATTCTTGTCGTAAGAGGCGACTAACGGAATCGGGTGGTCAGGCTCGCTGACTTGGTTGACACATGTCATCGGTTCCCAATTTCGCAGATCGATGTTAATGATGCTGATCATTGGATTGTCTGGTCCAGACTCGATTATTTACAGACTGCCGCTATATAGCTGGAGTATTGCTGAGTGCGGCGTAAAAATAAACTCACTCACTCCATTGAGAGCTATTCATACTCAGCTGTCATTGCCACAACACATCCTCAAGCATATATGACTTTGCAATTGAAACTAATCGAATCTGCGCACAAAAGGTGGGTGAGTGATAGTTTGATACAGCAACATTAGCAGTTTTAGCCTGTTTCCTCCGATAGTAGGGATTTACTGAGAACAGAAAAGTCTAGACGTTCAAAGGAAATCGACCCATCCAACTGACATTTGGGACTGTAAATATACTTTTACATGATGTCACATTGTGGGGACATTTACGTGAAGATTGTCTTGATGCTCACGTAAAATCTCTTACTTCTGCCACTAAATCGAATGAGTTCTCGTGTCATTGTCTGAAGTCTGTTTTCGTGTCAGTGGTTCCTGTACCAGGGAAGACCCTGAACGAAGTCGATCGTAAACATTATTGGCTTTCTGTTACCTGTTCTATGGTCAGCTGATCACAATGTACCATTGAACGTTCTGGCCACTGACTTCTGCTAGTTTCCAGCATGCCTTCACCCTCTATACGAAATCAGATAAATTAAATACTTTGATAAGGATAATTCATGACTGACAACATAATGTCCCACAAAGATTAATCGACCTTCATAGAAATTGTCAGAATTTCACTGTCAGCAACGTTCCACTTGTCTCCCTCACTCGACACAACTTTTATCTTCATCCTCCTTCCTGTTCCAATTGTTCCCTAAAACCCCTCCTTTGTTTCTCCTCCCCTCACTGTTACATCCTCTTCGTTATTCCCTTCCTTCTCCTGGTAGCTCCTGGCGTTTGTTATTGCACTCACCTCGTCACTGCTGCTCCTATTGTTTTCTATTGCCAACTGTTCTCAAGTTCAAACCAACCGATTAACCCAGAGCAACATGCATTTTCTGCTTTAGGTCCGTACATGAGAGACACCTTCACTGTTCTGTTTACTGCACAAGGAGCTGTGGGTTATAGGGTGTATCAGCACTTTGATAAACTACAGCGTCATTTTCAGATGCGTGTGAGCTGACATGTCAATCAAACCTATGTGTTCACACTATGTCCGTTAATTTCTTTCGCTGGCATCCCCAGGCGCGTAGCAAGCCACTTTTTTCGTGTAAGCCCGATAGGCTGCTAAGCTTTATATTTAGATAGTATTGAGGGTTTGCCCAACCTTTTTCGCAACAATCATGTGTAAGCCCGGGAATATTTTGTGTAATGGTAGCTACGTCCCTGATCCCGAAGCCGTGTCTGAATTCTATGATCGTGGGTCCTTGTCACAAATTCTGATTAAGATTGTTTGGTTTGTTGTTTTTACGCCGCACACGGCAATATTCCAGCTATACGGCGGCGGTCTGTAAATAATCGAGTCTGGACCAGACAATCCAGTGATCAACAGCACGATCATTAATCTACGCAATTGGGATACGATTATACTGATTATGACGATTTTAACGATACATTGCCTGTTAAGTTACAAGCTGGCTATTGTCATTATCATTATTGCATATGATACCTAACAGCGGATTAGCTGAATGACATCAATGAGTTGGAGGACAGTATTTACTAGTATAAAGGTGTATTGTATAACACTTCAGGAATCATGGGAAGTTGTCTCTTGGAACGTGCGTATTTCGTTGCATACTGATGTATTTCCACATGTAGATCTGAAGCAGTATACATTCTTACTCTTATGTGCCCATATTGTTCTGAAACCAGTACGCCATATGTATCGTTAAATAACAACAAACATCAGAGTTGGAAACGATCTCTGTTTATGTCGGAATGATTCACAATAAGTTTGTTACTGGAAGTTCGTTAGTGTTTCTGAAGACATGCCAAGAGAGGGTTTGAAAGGCTTGTGGTAACTGAATGACATTTTTCAGGGGACTGCGGTGTTAGTACTCGTCACCCTCATCCTCCTCTGCATCTTTGGAGTCGACTCCAACCTCCTCGTAGTCCTTCTCCAGAGCAGCCAAGTCCTCACGGGCCTCGGAGAACTCTCCCTCCTCCATACCCTCACCCACGTACCAGTGGACGAAGGCTCGCTTGGCGTACATCAGATCGAACTTGTGGTCAAGACGAGCCCAGGCCTCGGCAATAGCAGTGGTGTTGCTCAACATGCAGACGGCTCTCTGGACCTTGGCCAGGTCACCACCGGGGACAACTGTTGGTGGCTGGTAGTTAATGCCAACCTTGAAACCAGTGGGACACCAATCGACGAACTGGATGCTTCTCTTGGTCTTGATGGTAGCGATGGCAGCGTTGACGTCCTTCGGGACGACGTCTCCTCGGAAAAGCAGACAACAGGCCATGTACTTGCCGTGACGGGGATCGCATTTGACCATCTGATTAGCGGGCTCGAAACAAGCGCTGGTGATCTCAGCGACAGTCAGCTGCTCGTGGTAGGCTTTCTCCGCAGAGATGACTGGGGCATAGGTAGCCAGAGGGAAGTGGATACGTGGGTAGGGCACCAAGTTGGTCTGGAACTCAGTCAGATCCACGTTCAGGGCACCGTCAAATCGGAGAGAGGCAGTGATAGAGCTGACAATCTGGCCAATCAGACGGTTCAGATTGGTGTACGTTGGTCGCTCAATATCAAGGTTGCGTCGACAGATGTCGTAGATAGCCTCGTTGTCGACCATGAAGGCGCAGTCGGAGTGTTCCAGGGTTGTGTGGGTGGTCAAGATGGAGTTGTAGGGCTCCACGACGGCGGTAGAGATCTGAGGAGCGGGGTAGATAGAAAATTCCAGTTTGGACTTCTTTCCGTAGTCAACGCTCAGTCGCTCCATCAGCAGTGAACTGAAGCCGGAGCCAGTACCGCCACCGAAGCTGTGGAAGATGAGGAAGCCCTGGAGTCCAGAGCACTGGTCAGCTAGCTTCCTAAGTCTGTCCAGAACAGAATCAATCAGCTCCTTGCCCACGGTGTAGTGGCCACGGGCGTAGTTGTTGGCGGCGTCCTCCTTGCCGGTGATGAGCTGCTCGGGGTGGAACAGCTGGCGGTAGGTGCCGGAACGGACCTCATCTGTTGAACAGAAAAGAGTGAGTGAGTGAATGAGTGAGTGAGTGAGTATGGTTTTACGTCGCTTTTAGCAATATTCTAGTAGCATCAAGGTGGGCTTCACACATTGTACCCATGTGGGAAATTGAACCCGGGTCTTCGGCTTGACGAGCGAACGTTTTAACTACTAGGCTACCCCACCGCCCCCTGAACAGAAAAAGAACCATGAAGACAAGCCCCGAGAGAGTTGTGAGATGCTTCCTTTTCCCAAATTATGATGAGGTTAAGTTGACGCAATTGTCAATGCTCTTACCGACAACAGTTGGCTCAAGGTCAACGAAGACGGCCCTGGGGACGTGTTTCCCTGCTCCAGTCTCGCTGAAGAAGGTGTTGAAGGAGTCGTCCCCAGCCCCGAGGGTCTTGTCCGAGGGCATCTGGCCATCAGGCTGGATGCCGTGCTCCAGGCAATACAACTCCCAGCATGCATTGCCCATCTGGACTCCGGCCTGGCCGACGTGGATAGAGATACATTCCCTCTGGAAACAAGAATAGACAAGTTAAACAAGAAACCAAGAATCCATCCCTAGAATGAAATAGTTTGTTTGTCTTATTTCATTGAAGATAAAAAAAAATTCACAATGCTTTCATATTTGATATTCAAATTTTTCTTCAATACTTCTTCTCCGTTGCCGCAGCAATTGTAAGATACATATCACATTAACTCGTAACCACGGAGACAGTGAAATATCCAGTAGTCAGTTTCGAAAACAACTGAGTGCAAATGATCATATATTTTCAAACCAGCATTGCTAGGTAAACGACACGTATTTTGTTAATCAGAGGGAAATGCCAACTTTGTCGGATCCGTTGCATTATGCTTGGATGTAAATACATGTAGTATTATCGATCTGTGAAATTAACCGATGATAGCGAAGTGCCGAGCTACATAGCTCTCATGGTGGCGGTGATTCACGACTGAGTGTAATTGTCTGGTTGGACCACAACACAGTACACACATAATTATGTCAGAGGCGGTGAAATCCTTCCCACACTGTATGTATCGGTATCATATGGTGGAAGAATGTCGGAAGTTCGATCCCCTGACCGCGTCAGAACAAAGCGTGAGTGAGTTTTTAGTTTTACGCCGCTTTTAGCAATATTCCAGCATATCATGGCGGGGGACACCAGAAATTGGCTTCACACATTGTACCCATGTGTGTAATCGAACCCCGGTCTTTGGCGTGACGAACGAACGCTTTAACCACGAGGCTACCCCACCGTACTTACAACAAAGTGGTTAGACTATTCCACTTGCCTATTCCACAGACTATCCTGCCTGGCCCTCGAACTGAAAGGGCTAAGTCTGGCCAGCATGGCATCCAGTGAACCAGCACTATAGAACTATAAATCTGGATGGGTGAAAACAACCACACACACGTGCATGACGCTGTGTCAGTTCTGGCGTCACGATGGCGTTGATGTCAAGGACCGGCCGCCCCGTTCCCCAGACTTGAACCCGATCTAATACATTTGGGACGAGCTGGGAAGACAAGGGCGGCAGCTAATGAATCAATGCCAGATCTTCATAGAGCTTGGGCAAGCACTTGCTGACCAATGTCGGCGACTTCCGGTTACAGATTCTCCTGTCCACGAGGAGACGTATTGTTGCTGTCACGGCCGACCTAGTAGGTCACATTCGTTATTAGCTTCTTCTGTTCCCAACATTTGATCAGTATCAGTACCAGTTGGACTAACGTTAGTCTCTCAATATATATAATATTGACATTAACAAATAATCCCATTTAAATTGAAAGGAGCCCCAGTGAGATGGGGGAACCTGGGGAAATCTAGACTTGCTTCACTTATTGCTGTAGCATTCAGGGAGGCCAGGCGGTGGGGCAGACTACAATATCAGTGTGAGGTTCGTGATAGGGCAACGTCATGCATTACTTTCCCAATAAAACGATGCCGCAATCCACATTTCATCGTCTGTATTGTTACCGGGATGGTAGCAGTGTGCTTCACATCTGTTTTCATATTTAATGCATTCATTACATCCGCTGTGGTATTCAACTCAACACGTGTCAAGTGTTTAATTTAGTTGAGTATATATGATCACAGTTACCAAATACTTCTGCTTTAGAACGCCAAGAACATTTCAGTCGTAGAGGTTGGAATAATCTGTCAAGTGTAACTAGAAATAGATCGTAGGGAGATTTGCAGGAGACTGCTGGTGACAGTCGTTGTCACTACTCCCTTCACCTGACCTGCAGATTGCAGGGAGTGCTGTAACATTTGTACAGTATAACGTGTAAATACTACACATGCAGATGTAACGATGTTGTGTCTAAATTTGGTAGCAAGCCCACGGAGATGTGTAAGTTTAGAATGTCACACGGTGTAATGACCAATGGCTGACATTTGATCGTATCTGTAGGTCGTGTGTAAACACTAACCCCGCCTTCATGGCATTATACAAGTTGTCTGTCTCACAGTCCCTGAACCACCTTACTTTCCCTACTGCCTAGCCCTCCCTGCAATATAGTCTGTCTCACAGTCCCTGAACCACCTTACTTTCCCTACTGCCTAGCCCTCCCTGCAATATAGTCTGTCTCACAGTCCCTGAACCACCTCACTGTCCCTACTGCCTAGCCCTCCCTGCAATATAGTCTGTCTCACAGTCCCTGAACCACCTCACTGTCCCTACTGCCTAGCCCTCCCTGCAATATAGTCTGTCTCACAGTCCCTGAACCACCTCACTGTCCCTACTGCCTAGCCCTCCCTGCAATATAGTCTGTCTCACAGTCCCTGAACCACCTCACTGTCCCTACTGCCTAGCCCTCCCTACAATATAGTCTGTCTCACAGTCCCTGAACCACCTCACTGTCCCTACAGCCCAGCCCTCCCTACAATGCTAAGTCCTAAATCAAGCAAGTCTAGATTTCCCCAGGTTGCCTTTAAAATGACCCCAATATGACTTCGCCTAGTCTGTCGTGCAGACCCTTAAAGAAATATATCCAATAAATGCAAGTCTAGAATATGTGGCAACTCTAGATTTCCACAGTTTCAGGGCGCCTTTTCATTATATATATATACATTTTTTTCTTCTTTTCTATGAACTGTTTTATCAGTAAAATATGTTTATTTCGGAGACTAGTTGTTAATCTAGACTTCGCCATAATTTGAATGTTCATCATCCCCGAAATCCTAATCATCCAAATTTCCATGATAACTGAAGGGTAAAACTGACAAAACGTCTCTCACGAAGGTCGGTCTGTTGTATGTACAGTTACAGTTAGAGTCTATGACACGAAGCCTGGCTGCTTCAGTGACCCCGGTTTTACAAGAGCGTTATAGACAAGATGAGCAGAGTTCTGGTCCAGTGCACCGAGTGTTTCGGGGAGCGTGACAAGCCTATGACTAAGTACATCATTAATATAGGATGGTGTATGGTCTGTTCTGAAAGTTGTCAAACTTGACTGGCTGGAGAACATCACCTGCCTGACGGCGGGAGCGAATTGGTTACGCATGGATGGACGTTAGCCCGGGGACAACTACATTCTGAACACGCTGGAATCATAATTATATGAAATTCATAATAATGAAACGTAGGTTAGTTCTGTAAGAGTTGGCGGCTGGAAACAATGTTATAAACAAAAGGACAACTGTCGCTCGGCGAGGAATGAGTGACGTTGACGAGATATAGTTATACATTTTGAAAATGTAATGGAGTCATGGTATCAGTCACACTTCTATCTAAATATACATTGCACAATGTTTACGAAAGTTTTAAAAATGAAACAGTCACTCATTTATTGTAGGGTATTCAGATAGATTAAGCAACATCTAACAAAGAACTTCTATGGCATCATAATCACCAGAGCAACACGATCTTTGGTTGAAAGAAATATTTGGGACAAGTGTTTATCAATAATGCCTGAGCATCAACATCATCTGAGGACAAGCCTTCAAGATGATGCGCCTTTGTCGATCCTAAAACCAACACACGACAACGAGAAATAAGATAGGCCTTTGTGTGTGGAATTTGTTCCGGTCATATAGAGGGTCTACAATTGTCTGTGCATATCTTCATAGAGGGTGGTTTTCACCACACCGTGAAATCATGTCATGAGATGAGATCTGCCGCCGTCACGGCTGGACAACGCCGGGAGGACAGTAGCATGTGTGGAATGTGGTCAGTAAACATTTAACAAGGGGCTTGGCAGCTGCGGTTTAAGAAAACACCTCAGTATACATAACTGTCACATCTGCTGAAACGTGAATATTTTCGAAGACAATGTCAAATACATGCGGTGGAAGTTTGTAACAAGGAAGATGAAAGTAAAGAATAAGCATCAAACATTTCACAAAAATAAAATATGCCGTTTCAAACATCCCCTATCCAACTGAACGTGCACATATTTACCATGTAACCAATTCATAGCAGTCTAGACTAATAGCAGTCCTGTGTCCTGAGTATATGTTTTGTTTGATTGTTCCTTAACGCCTCTCTCAGCAATATTTCAGGTGTATAGCGACCATAGCATATGTACATATAACCAGCATATATCTATATATGTGTCTATAAATCAGCCATCCAGCATCACATGATCGGTAGGGATACAGCATGAGTCACTGATCACCTATATAACTTTCCCCATACAACACAATACCGACGACAGATGTCGAGGGATAGTTAGCATTCCATTATGAGATACGTATCTTACACAGGATGCATAAACCATAACAATAGAAACGTCAGTGGTAGTTTTCCACACAGTTTTCGATACTGAGCTTGACCACCACCTGAATTGTTACTGTTGTTGTTGTTTTTTCAGTGGATGGATGTGCAATGTGTTAGGATGACCACACCAGACAGAAATCTCATTTGAGCCACAGAAGTGAAACGTGTAACCTACATGGCCTCAGGTCGACTACTGGGCAGAGATGATTCATGCATACGTTGTGGATATCAGTTCCATCGACATTTAATGTTTATCTCAAAGTAGCAATCTCTTAACCAGCAGATAATTATTACACCATAATTATTTACATTTCCTCATAAAGATAATTATTCTGTTTATGCACGTTCCAATCAATACAGGCAACATAACAAGCTCTATTCCTACAACAAGTGATTTTCGGTACTGACATAGCTCATGTGCTTAGAATGGTTTGCACTGATTAAATAAGTACATTTTCTACAATCAAAACAGAAAATCAACAACGCTTATACGTGCTCTCTGCAATCCAGTCTCAAACGAATCAATATCCTATTGATTAAATCATTATAAACTGGGTCAAGCAGACGACAGAAGAAAGAGCAGACGACAAATCTGAGAAATTTGCGAATGGTGTTTACAAAATACGGTTTTAAACGTTTAAACGTCATAAACTAGTATGACTAGTACTTACCATGTTGAATTATAGTGGATTGGAGATGTTGAGATGGAGGTAACGTTGTTTATTGGGACGAACAGTCCAGGCGACTCACGCAGACAGTAATGGATCTGTGGTGAGAGCGAGGTTGGTCTGGCGGTGGCGGGAGAGATGCCGCGGTATTTATACTGTGCGCACTCACAGAGGCACACCTACCGTCACTGAAGACACAGCCGTGTTGACACAGTCGATGAAGGTGTTCCGAACGACTGCTTTGAGTTTCCAAAATTATATACCTGTAAATAGTAAAGAGCCAACAATGCCAGCTGTTTGAAAAATGTTCTCGTATATACAAATTTCATGTCTAGTCATTAAGGCGTTCTCGCAAAGATCTTGGGTTACCTGGGTTAACATGTAACGACTGCTGTGAAATAGATGAGGTGGCGTAATGACCATCTACATCACTTTCATATATTGAAGTATAAACCCATTGTCTCAGTACGTCAGTATATCTCCACTCCCTGTACAAAGGAAACAGATATATTTAATATCAGTTAACGAATTTGCTTAATAAACATCAGTTTCTTACACAGTGAATCATTGACAACTTTAAAGAAGTGTCCTTTAAAATATTGATTTTATCAGTGTTCGTGACAGTTTACATAGAAAAGTTCGCATCAGGTAAAGGGCATCTTTTGAGCGGATGATGCGCAATCAATATACATACTGGACATGATGCGCAATCAATATACATACTGGACATGATGCGCAATCAGAATACATACTGGACATGATGCGCAATCAATATACATACTGGACATGATGCGCAATCAGAATACATACTGGACATGATGCGCAATCAGAATACATACTGGACATGATGCGCAATCAATATACATACTGGACATGATGCGCAATCAATATACCTACTGGACATGATGCGCAATCAATATACATACTGGACATGATGCGCAATCAATATACATACTGGACATGATGCGCAATCATTATACATACTGGACATGATGCGCAATCATTATACATACTGGACATGATATCATTATACATACTGGACATAATGCGCAATCAATATTCATACTGGACATGATGCGCAATCAATATACATACTGGACATGATGCGCAATCATTATACATACTGGACATGATATCAATATACATACTGGACATGATGCGCAATCAATATACATACTGGACATGATGCGCAATCAATATACATACTGGACATGATGCGCAATCAATATACCTACTGGACATGATGCGCAATCAATATACATACTGGACATGATGCGCAATCAATATACATACTGGACATGATGCGCAATCATTATACATACTGGACATGATGCGCAATCATTATACATACTTGACATGATATCATTATACATACTGGACATGATGCGCAATCAATATACATACTGGACATGATGCGCAATCATTATACATACTGGACATGATGCGCAATCATTATACATACTGGACATGATATCATTATACATACTGGACATGAAGCGCAATCATTTTACATACTGGACATGATGCGCAATCACTATACATACTGGACATGATATCATTATACATACTGGACATGATATCATTATACATACTGGACATGATGCGCAATCAATATACATACTGGACATGATGCGCAATCATTATACATACTGGACATGATGCGCAATCATTATACATACTGGACATGATATCATTATTCATACTGGACATGATATCATTATACATACTGGACATGATATCATTATACATACTGGACATGATATCATTATACATACTGGACATGATATCATTATACATACGCGTGGAAAGGCGTGAAGATCATGATCTGCCAGCAGAACAAGTCATCACATATCAACGTTGCAGACGACCGGAAGTACACTGAAGATCTAAACCAGTTTTATTCAAGATTCGATACCTTTGACTTTACCGACCAGCGCAAAACCGTCATAGACGGTATCATACCGGACAATGAGGATGCTATCACTATTACACCTGAGATAGTCAAAACCCAGTTTTCCAAGCTGAATATACGGAAATCAACAGGACCTGTTGGACTGGATGGAATTATCCTCAAACGATGTTGTGATCAGCTGTGCCATGTTTTTAGTCGACTTTATCAACTTTCATTTGATCAGCATATCATACCAACAATATGAAAAACCTCAAAAGTCATCCCCGTGCCTAAGAAGAGCACCCCATTTGTATTGAACGACTTTCGTCCAGTTGCCCTCACGTCAATAGCCATGAAGTGTTTTGAAAGGATCATGCTAAATACTCTGATATCTAACGTTGGACACCTCCTTGACCCTCTTTAATTTACACACAGAGCACGACGGGGTGTGGAAGATGCTAAAGTTGTTATTTTAAACAGTATTTACAAACATTTAGAAACTCCCAAATCTTATGCTAGAGTTCTTTTTATTGATGTTTCCTCTGCTTTTAACACTATTCAACCACATATTTTAATGCAAAAACTTTCATCCATGGATGTGAACCGGAACCTTGTACTGTGGATTGAGCAATTCTTAATTAACCGACCCCAATATGTGCACGTGAATCAGCCAAATGCATCAACAATGTACACTTATACTGGAGCACCTCAGGGCTGTGTCATATCGCCCGTGCTTTTCATTCTTTATACCAATGATTGTGTAAGCCGTAACCCTGAATGTCTGACAGTCAAATTTGCTGCTGATGCGGCTTTGGTCGGTCTGATTAAAGGGACAGAAGCTTATTACAGAAACGATGTAAAGGATTTTGTTACACTGGTGTGACGACAACTACCTGCAGTTAAATGTTACCAAAACAAAGGAACTCCTTGCGGATTTTAGAAACCAAAACAGTGACAATGTTCCTGTTGATATCAAGGGTGAAACTGTCGAAATTGTAAAACAATACAAATATCTTGGCACTATTATCGACAATAAACTACAGTGGGGTCCAAACACCGATTTTATTTTTAAGAAATGCCAGAAAAGATTGTTTTAAATGCGCAAACTGAGATCTTTTAACATAAGCAAAAAGGTGATGCTGTCGTTTTATCGTTGTTTTGTTGAAAGTATTTTAACTTTTTCAATTCAATGCTGGTATGGCTCTCTTAATATCAAAAGCAAATCCTATCTTAACAAAATCCTTTTAATTGCAAGTAAAATCTCTGGGATGTCTGTTTCGAATTTATCTTCTCTTTTTAATTCCCGTGTTATTAACCTCGCTGAGAGAATTTTATCTGATCCCAGCCATGTTTTATTTTCTGAATACCATCTTTTACCTTCAGGCCGCCGATACTAAATGCCCCGTTTTAAAACAAAAAGAGTTCAGATTCTTTTATTCCAGCAAGTATTCGACTTTTAAATGTTAACTTTGTCTGTCTATTGCGTTGTTGTGTGTTTTATTAACCTTTATGTCATTTTTATATGTAACCCTGTGACCACTTTCAAATGTAAAAAGAATTCCCCTTGGGGTAATAAAGTATTGTCATTGTCATTGTCATTGCCATTGCCATTGCCATTGCCATTGCCATTGCCATTGCCATTGCCATTGCCATTGTCATTGTCATTGTTATTGTCATTGTCATTGCCATGTCATTGTCATTGTCATACTGGACATGATGCGCAATCAATATACATACTGGACATGATGCGCAATCAATATACATGCTGGACATGATGCGCAATCAATATACATACTGGACATGATGCGCAATCAATATACATACTGGACATGATGCTCAATCAATATACATACTGGACATGATGCGCAATCAATAAACCTACTGGACATGATGCGCAATCATTATACATACTGGACATGATGCGCAATCAATATACATACTAAACATGATGCGCAATCAATATACATACTGGACATGATGTTCAATCAATATACATACTGGACATGATGCGCAATCAATATACATACTGGACATGATGCGCAATCAATATACATACTGGACATGATGCGCAATCAATATACATACTGGACATGATGCGCAATCAATATACATACTGGACATGATGCGCAATCAATAAACCTACTGGACATGATGCGCAATCATTATACATACTGGACATGATGCGCAATCAATAAACCTACTGGACATGATGCGCAATCATTATACATACTGGACATGATGCGCAATCAATATACATACTAAACATGATGCGCAATCAATATACATACTGGACATGATGCGCAATCAATATACATACTGAAACATGATGCGCAATCATTATACATACTGGACATGATGCGCAATCAATATACATACTGGACATGATGCAAATCAATATACATACTGGACATGATGCGCAATCAATATACATACTGGACATGATGTTCAATCAATATACCCACTACATACTGGACATGATGTTCAATCAATATACATACTGGACATGATGTTCAATCAATATACATACTGGACATGATGTTCAATCAATATACATACTGGACATGATGTTCAATCAATATACATACTGGACATGATGCTCAATCAATATACATACTGGACATGATGCGCAATCAATATACATACTGGACATGATGCGCAATCAATATACATACTGGACATGATGTTCAATCAATATACATACTGGACATGATGTTCAATCAATATACATACTGGACATGATGTTCAATCAATATACATACTGGACATGATGTTCAATCAATATACATACTGGACATGATGTTCAATCAATATACATACTGGACATGATGTTCAATCAATATACATACTGGACATGATCGCGCAATCAATATACATACTGGACATGATGCGCAATCAATATACATACTGGACATGATGCGCAATCATTATACATACTGGACATGATGTTCAATCAATATACATGCTGGACATGATGTTCAATCAATATACATACTGGACATGATGTTCAATCAATATACATACTGGACATGATGTTCAATCAATATACATACTGGACATGATGTTCAATCAATATACATACTGGACATGATGTTCAATCAATATACATACTGGACATGATGTTCAATCAATATACATACTGGACATGATGTTCAATCAATATACATACTGGACATGATGTTCAATCAATATACATACTAAACATGATCGCAATCAATATACATACTGGACATGATGTTCAATCAATATACATA